AAAAAAAAAAGAAAAGGTAGTACTTTATGAAACATATTTCCACTTTTAATATGTATGTATTTTCATATGTATCCATGGGCTGCTGCTGGAACAGTGGTTGAAGTGGTTGCTAACTGAATGGTCAGTTGTATAAACCCACTCGTTGCTCCTCAGGAGGAAAGGCGACGGCCTGCTTCCGTAAAGATTGAAAGCTTTGCAATGCCTTGGTGCAGATCTTCCCGGTCTGCAGGGTTGCCAGTGTCAGAGTCAACATGAGAGCAATGCCTTGGTGCAGATCTACTTGGTCTGCAGGGTCGTCAACATGAGAGCAGTGGCTTTGGTTGGGTATGGAGTTGTGATTTAAAGTTTATTTTTGCTGTATATTGTATCAAGATAGGTAAATTATACTGGAGGAATTTATTTACAAAACCTGTTCTCAGGATGATATTTAGTAATACTCTGTGAGCATATTCTAGTTTAGGCAGCAGTATACCAGAAAGATAAATCTCTATTAGAAATGATTACTTATTGACTAGCCACTCATTTATTCTGATATTTCTTTTAGAAGCATAATTGTATTCAAATTAATGAAGAGACTACATATTTTGAATAATAAATCTTGGAACTCTTGCTTACATTTCTGAAAATGATCAAAGGATTTCAGAGAAGTGGTTCTTAATTGGGGACAATTTTACCCATTAGGGGGCATATTTTGTTGTCACAATTTGGGCAGTTAGTGGTTAGATAGCAGAGACGCTATTTAAAACATCCCTCTATGCAGAGGATAGCTTTTCCTTTCCCCAACAAGGCAATGGTGAATCTCTGCAATTCTTGCAACAGTTGAAAGTAGTCATACTATTTGTTATCGAAATAAACTCAAGTCATATTGTTTATAGTTTGTCCTGATCATAAATTTTATTATTGGATATAAATATCTCCAAATACTTTATCAATCACTTATATATGTACCAGAATTAAATAATGCATGGAACAGTTTAGATATACAAAGTTTATAACTCTAAGATAATTTCTTGAGCTTTAACATTAAAAGTTAGAATTATTTTTACCACCATGATACAGAATATTTAATATACTTCTGAATATCTATATTATGAAAATCTTTATCTTCAGAGACTTGGTAGCCAGTTGCCTAATTGTTTCTCATCATTCAACATCCTGCTCTTAAGTGTTCTCAAATTTTAAACAGATTTGATAACAGTCACTGTATTTTGTATAGATATGGTGGTTCAATAAATGTACTGGTAATGAAGACTAAGGCAAAAGGGATTGTAAATGATGATAAGGGAACAAGGAAGATACATATGGATTTATGGACTGGAATTTAGATCTTACGCCTAGGGGGTCCTAAGTGCCTGAGGAGTTTCGTCCAATCATTCGTTCCTTAGCCTTCAGTTCCTTGATTCATAACACGAGAGCATGGGACTGTATGACTTTCACAGACGCTTCAAAATCTTCGAAATCAGAGCCCAAAGTACAGATCACTTGTTTGAATGGATTCTTAATTGCCTTTCTATTATTTTCTTGCCTTCTTAACAGTAGTATGTGAGTAAAGTACTCTGACGTAGCTCCATTACGCCAAGGGTTTGGTTTCTATTTGGACGGCAATGTGTACCAGACGCCTCAGGCTTCCAACCTGGACCTTTACCCGCATTGCCAAGCAAGGCTGGCTCTGTCGGTGGCTCCACTGCAGTCACAGGGCCTGCTTCCAGCCACTTGGTCCAGGGCACTCTGTGTGCTAAGTGCTCAGAATTGTTTTCTTTCTCTCTCTCTCTCTCTCGCTCTTTTAAAGAAAAAGATTAAACTAAATGTTATGATTATAATAGTCAGGATACTGACACAAAGCTGGGAGAGTAATAACTGGCTGTTCAATATAAGAAACTAAAAGTTGTCCTTCCTTTACAGAAGAAAAAAAAAAATCTTTGTTCTCTTAGGGCTTTCGGTCTTCCTCCCCAACCCCCCAGGTATTTCCACTACCATTGAGTTGATTCTAACTCAGAATGACACTATGTGACGCAACGGAACTACCCCAAAAGGGCTTCTGAGAATACAAGTCTTGTAAGGAGTCAGCAGAGAAGCGAGTTTGGCTGGTGCAACTTTGTGGTTAACAGCCAGACTTTGATCCTATTGCCCGCCACGCCCCCTCCACCCCACCCCACCCCACCCCACCCCTGGAAGCTAGTCTGACAACACTGATAACAATAATGAGAATATCGCCCTCTGGTGGGTCTAACTAGTAGGCGCGCCTATAAAATGCCATCCTTATTAAGGCCTGTTTTTTCTTGAAAAAAATAGTAATTTGAATAATTCATTATACACTCATTCAAAAGTTGTGCTTCTCTGGGTATAATATAGGCTAGAGATATGTTTGAGAAGACTTTGAAATGTTCAAGGAAAAATGGAATTGAAACCTAATGGATTTTTCCTACAACTCCTTGTGTGAATGTTGAAAATCACCCAAAAAGAGAGGGAAAAAGGGGGTGGGGGAAAGGAATTGCCTTCACTGAGATATCGCTTTTGATTTAGCACTGGTCGTTTTTCTAGGGCTAAGTTTCTTTTATGAGTATCCATAAACGGAGTCTAGATGTACTACTTTTTTTCTGTCTTTTTCCTTTTGGCAGAAGGATCTCTCTGGAAGACCTGGGAAAATAAGGGCAAGCATGTATTGGGGAGTCCTGAAAGTTTCTCACTTCAGGGGACACCTCGGCAAAGATAAAGGAAAATCTCCCGGTTACCCTTTCAGAGCTTACTTGATTGCTCATTTAGGCTCTAGCTCACAGAGCATGAAGAGTGCTGTATCTAATGTGTCTTTCAAGGAAGGCTAGAACAACTCATTTGTTTTCAAAGCAAAAATCCCCGTACATCGAGTATGGGTTATTGATTAATTCAAGTGCTTTTAAAATTAATTGTGACATGGGACTTTTGTGACTAGGCCATTTACTTCAATCTGACTTTATTGTACTCCAGATATTTGAATTCTTATACACGTATGATCTGCATACAGCTCTTTAACTTATAGGACGAATTAGAGACCCGTTTTTGAAGCAATCCACTCTCGGTAGTAAGTCACGTTGGTGTATACTCCAGGGCTGTTCTTTTGTCCACAGTTGGTTCCCCAGCTCACAATTCCAATGAGATACCAGGTATCTTTAAGATCCTTTGCAACCAAAGGTCCCCCAGAATCACCCTGATAATTAAAAATAAAGAAATCACCTAAACAAAAAGCTTAGATATTCTGATTACCCACGTGTTTTATTAATAACAGTATATGCGCATATTACTAATTATAGAATAATTAAATTAAATATATATTTCAAAGCTCTTTAAGGCTATAAATAGCTTTAACTTCCTTGTGACTTTCCTTCACCACGTTTTTAAATTGATAGCATCTTCATTTTGGGGTCACTTATCAGCATTTACATTAATATCACTTTGTAAATGTTATTCACTGATTAGTCAAGTGACATACTCTGATTACATTATCTTTCATGGGCAAATTTTGGTATTCTTGAATTAATAACAGATCCTACTCTGTTCCCCCCTACCGCCCCCACACACACACATTTTTGGCTCGCCTTCTATAGGGCTGTGGCAAATGCTGAATCCTCCAAAAGCGCTTCCAAGATCTACCATTTTTACTACTCCTCAAGAATGAGATAACTTGTCATTTCTTTTCCTCTCTGAAAATTTCCCCATCCATCACTCCCCTACTTATTTCCCTCACCCTGGCATATCCACAAATGTGCACACACTCACACTCACAAGCAAACACACACACCCTTCCCTTCTATCTGCTCTAACTTGGATTGGTTACTCTCCACGGCGTAGGCTGAGTTCCAATTCTGAGACATTCCTCCATCATTCGCTTGTGTGAGACCCATAATACTTTTGGACCCGAGTCTTCCTCTTGTTTTGGTTTACTCCCTCATTTAGAAGAGGTACCTCTCAGATTGTTTCCCAAGTAAGAGTGGGTAGGAAATACAGGTTTTGAGGCATGTCGTGTCTAAAATGCCTTTATTCTACCCTCACTCTTGCTAATTGGTTTAGTTGAAGTTAATTTAAATTCATTTTCCATTTGAATGTTGATGGGATTTCCCAATGTCTTCTAGCTTCAAGGACCACCGTGGAGAAGTTCTAAGTGGGTCCATGGATGCCTTTTCCTTCAGAACGTCCAGGGGCTTCTCCTTATGCCCAGTGTTCTGACATTTCATGATGCTTGGGGAGGAATCGGCTGTGCCCAGCACTCGCTGGACCTTTGTAATAGGAAAGACACCCACTTCAAAATCGAGAATGCTCATTATTTCTGTAAGGATTTAAGTTAAAAAAGCCCCCAGAAGGAGTATCTTTTATAGTTTTGAATAAATTCAAGTAAACAGCTAAGAACACTGGGAAGGGCATTAAGATAGTCATGACTCAGTCTAACATGCTTTAACACTGTGGACCGATTCTCTCTCCTGAGCCTTATGCTTGAGCCACAAGGGATTACTTGACCTTCCCACACATAGGAATGGTGATTTCACCAATTTTAATGACGGTGTTTCTCTTTTCAAAAATACTGCTTCATGATTCTATAGCAAGGTAAATGCTTTTTACCTTTCCTGGCTTCATTTAAATACCATATCTTTGATTATTGTTAAAAATGTGTTCCCTTCATAGAAGAAGTCTTCATTATATAATTTCTAACACTTTTTCACGCTTCATTGTGTGTGATGGTTCCCTTGCTAAAATACAAGCCCTTGAGGAAAAAGACTTGCTTAATTAATCCTTGGCCTTCTGGTTATAAAGCGATTTTACTTTGGCTGATTATTTTGTTCGATAGCTTCAAAAGCACTCTGTACTTAATTTTATATAAGAAAACATAAAATGTTATGTAAGAAAACACATAAATATGTTTGTGTTGTGATATTTGCGTTCAGAACTTGTTCATGTTGACATTATAGCTGTAGTTTGTATTAATATGAAGACCACAGGATATCTCCTCGACAGAATAAGTAATTTTGTGTTAGCAATAATGAAATAATTTCTTCTCAACATACCTTGCAAGCATCATAAATCCCTTCCAAATATCCAGCACAAAACATTCCAAATTTGATTTGATTGCCATATACATACGGTTGCCTGCACACATCATCACTTATGATTTTCAATCTGGCTTCTTGAAGATAATTTAGGGAATTCCCTTTAGGAAAAACAAAGTAATTTTAGTGTTTAAAAATCATCTCTTCTTTTTCCTACTAAAATTGGCAAAACAGAATAAGCAATCTCTACAGAAGAAAATTCTGGTTAAATCTGGGACATTTAAATAATAATAATTATTAATATCACTTTCTTACAAGCAAGTAAATATTTTAATTTGTTTCCCCTGCATAACTTTTGTACATTTACTTTAAAACAGTCAGTTTATTTTATTTAGAAAGGAATATTTTAAAGTATTTGTATTTGTGGATTCCAATTGTTCTTAGAAACTTTGTGTACCTAGACAATTTTCTCCCTTAAATAGATAAAATAACTCTGATATTATACATATTTATCTTATCCTTTACATTTACAAAGTAAGAGCTATCACATAATACAATTTAAGGCAGTGGCTTTATTTCTTATGCATTATAAATTTGGGGTTACAGAGTTTAAGCTAGCGTGTTAGTCTAGAAACCAATAATATGGTAGTGAGACCATCGCTGGGAATGGAAAGCTCACAATAGCACAAGCATCGACTCTTTACACCAGTGGTTCTCAACCTTCCTAATTCCGCGACCCTTTAATATAGTTCCTCACGTTCGTTGCTACTTCATAACTGTAATTTTGCTACTGTTATGAATCAGACGACCCCTGTGAACCGGTTGTTTGACCTCCACAGGGGTCGCGACCCACAGGTTGAGAACCACTGCTGTATATCAAACTATAATGTGAAAAGGGCTGTGAAATATTGGCAAAATAGTCTCCAAGATTCTGATGTAAACCTTTCCCTCTACGTATGAGTAGTATCTATGACTATAAATATAACCCCCAGGATTCGGTTACATTATGGAGCAAATGTGATGGGGGTTGCAGATTTAATTAAGGGCTATAATCTGTTTGACTTTTAAAAGAGACACATTTATACTAGCACTGAAGAAGCAATCCCTCGTGTGCTCTACATTGACAAGAAACTTTATTCTTAGAAGAAGACCACAAATCACAGATGAGATAGCTCTTAATCCCAGCCTCCATCTTGATTGCAGCATTGTGAGATCTTTAAGTAGAGCATCTAGCTGAGCCATGTCTAGACTGATGATGCACAGAAAATGTGAGATAATATATAATACGAAAAATTCTGCCTTCCACGGAATAAACTCTGACTCACAGAGATGTTCTAGGACAGAGTAGAATGACCCTGTCAGTTTCCCAAACTGCACATGTTTATTGGAGTGCAAGCCTCATCTTTCTCCCACAGAGTGGCTGGTGGTTTTGAACTGCTGGTCTTGTAGTAAGCAGTCTGGCCCATAACCCAAAATGTCACTAGGGCTCCTGAGATATAAATAGATGTTCAAAGATGCTAAGTGTGTGGCATTATTTTGCACAAAAAAGAAGAGTGGCACAGATAGTTGTGGGGTTTTTTTAGAATACCAATCCAGGATTAATTTTTGGAGAGGTGTTTACTAATGCTTTTGAAAAAGTTCTAAAAAAATATGTGTGACACTAAGAAAGATTCTTTAAAAATACTCCAATCAGTCAAAGCTTTGATTATATACATGCCACTTGTCATCCTGTGGTAGCTGGTATGTTGCTGGGATGGTGGAAGCTTTATCACTGGTATTCCAAATACCCATTGGACCATGCAGAGCAACAGGTTTCAGGAAAGCTTCCAGACAAGAAACAGAGCCCGAAGAAGGAGTAGGCTGATGAACTGGCCACGAAACCTGTATGAGAAGCAGCAGCACTTTCTCAGAGATCATGTTGGAAGAGGACACCCAGGGTTGGACGGTGCTCAAGGTAGGACTGAGGAAGAGCTGTGTAGTAGGCTTACTAGAAGAACAAAAATCCAGTGACTCATCTATGTGTGAGAAAGAGCTTTATATGAAGAAGTGATTATCTATCAAGAAGACATCCCAGTCTAGTACAACCCAAGTCCATGAGTCTGATACTAGTCCAGAAGTCCCAAGCCACCACATGCAATGATGCCGAATGCAGGAAGATCACAGGCCAGTGGGTGTTAAAAGTCATGTGGAGTCAAGGTCAGTGGAAACATGTTAGTGCTCTGGCAGTTCTCAGGGTGGCCAACAAGCACCAAGGTAAAGACAGAGAGTGAGGGAGGTTCCCTGGGCCCTCCTTATGAGAAGGCCAGGCCCACAAGGAAGCACCATCAGGCTGAGACCTGATTGACAGGTTGGATTACACCCCTACGCTTTATTCATCTTCACGTTGACATGAGTTTCTCTGACTACCACACATTGCACTCTCAACGTAGAGTTGCTCATCATGATATGGATGGAGGAGAGTCTACAAGAGTGAGGCCCTCAGGACCTTCCGTTGGTGATGGGGCACATCTCAAAAGGAAAAGAAACAGCGGTCAATAACTATTAATAATTGGAACTTGGAATGTATGCAATGTGAATCTAGGAAAACTGGAAGTCATAAAAATGAAAAGGAACACATAAAGATCCATGTCCTAGGTATTAATGAGCTGAAATGAACTGTTATTGGCCATTCAGAATCAGACAATCATGTGGTTTACTATGCCAGGAACAACAAATTCAAGAGGAATGGAAATGAGGACATTTTGAGATCTATCTTGAAGCAACAATGCTGCCCATGATAGGATAATATCTATCAGCACACAAGGAAATCCAGACAATACAATTATCACTCAAATTTGCGCACTAAGTGCTAAAGCTTGTGAAAAAGAAATTGAGTTTTACCATCTTTCATGGATTGATCAAATATGCAATCACTGTGCATGGATATTGGTGATTTTCCAGAGGAAGAAGCGGTAATTGTGAAACACAGTCTTGATGATAGAAATGAAGCTGGAGATTGCGTGGTAGAATTTTGCAAAATCAACGACTTGTTCATCTCAAATATCATTTTTCCTCAACACAAACAGTGACCATACACATGGACTTCTCCAGATGGGATACACAGAAACCAAACAGATTACACCTGTGGAACGGATCATCAATTGCTCAGAGGTAAATCAAGGTTGAAGTTGAAGATAAGCTGAAAGCAAGTCTAGGAGAGCCATCATCTGACCTTAGGTATATCCAAACAGAATGTTGAGAACATCTCAGAGCAGATTAGATGCACTGAACATTAATGACAGAAGAGCGGATGAGCTGTGAGAGGACATCAAGCACTCATACATGAAGGAAGAAATAGGTCATTAAAAAAAAACAGGAAAGAAAGAAAAGACCAAATTGGATGCTGTAAGGGCCTCTGAAACTTGCTCTTCATCAGAAGTAAAAGTTTGCTGAAGATAACTCACCAACAGTTGCAGCAATACATTGACAGAAGGCTGTCAGAAATCCAGGCTGGATTCAGAAGTGGACGTGGAACAAGGGCTATCATTGCTGATGTCAGATGGACCTTGGCAGACGATCCCAGAAAGATGTTTCATTGGGTTTTATTAACTGTGTGGGAATTTCAGAACACTTAATCGTGCTCATATGAGGAAACCTGTACATGGATCAAGAAGCAGCTGTGCATAAAGAACAAGGACATGCTGCATGATTTAAATTCAGGAAAAGTGTGCGCCAACTTCATGCTGAGCAAATTCTCAGAGAACCTATATGAAGAAGAACAACTCTCAGTATGCACATGGCACAACCTTGCTGGCTGAAAGTGCGGAGGACTTGAAGTGCTTGCTGATGAAGGTCAAGGGTTGCAGCCTGTAGTATGAGTTGCATCTCAGTGTAAAAACTCAAACTACACTGCCATCAAGTTGAGGCGGATTCACAGGGACCTGCTTGTGGGTTTCTGTGACTTACTATTTACGGAGGAGAAAGCCTCCTCTTTATCCTGTGCTGTGACTAGTGGTTTCCATCTTCTGACCATCTGAATTGCAGCCCAGCGTGTAACGACTGCACCACTAGGGCTCCTTGGGACAATAGTACAATAGTTAACATCATGTTAAATGGAGAAAGGATGGAAGTTCTCAAGGGTTTATCTTGCTTGGTTGGATCCACGATCAATGCTCATGGAAACAGCAGTCAAGAGCTCAAAAGACATGTTGCAGCAGGTGAATCTGCTGCACAAGACCTCTTTTAGAGTATTGAAAAGCGAGGGTGTCATTTTGAGGACTAGCATGCAGCTGACCCAAGTCAGTATTTTCAATTGCTTCATATGCTTGTGAAAGCTGGACATTGAATAAGGAAGAAGAAAGAAGAATGGATGCATTTGAGTTACGGTATTGTTAGAGCATTTTGAAAGTACAATGGGCTGCCAAAAGGACAGACCAATCTATTTTGGAAGAAGTAGAGCCAGAATGCTTCTTAGAAGTTGGCATATTGTGACTTCATCTCACACTACGTTTGACAGGTTATAACGAAAGACAAGCTGCTGAAAAGGACATCGTGCATGGTAAAGTAGAGGGCAGCGCACAGGGGAAGGGCCCTTGACAAGCTGGACGGACACAGTGGCTGCAAGAATGGGCTCAAACAGAACAATTGTGAGGATGGCGCAGGGCCAGGCGGTGTTTCATTCTGCTGTGCACAGGGTTGCCATGGGTCAGAACCACCTCAGTGTCACCTAACAACAACAATAATGACATTATAAATTAAAAACACCTGAGATACTAGTGCTGGCAAGGTTAAGGTAAAGTCAACAAGCTATATATTATAGGAGGCAGTGTAAACTCAAAGTTTTTAGAAAACAGGATTCTAAGATTTATTTCAAGTTAGAACACTACAGCCCATATATTCTAGATATTGCTGAATAATTTCTCAATTACTATAGAAATGATTAAAGGCATTTCTCACAAACTTAATTTTTCAAAGCACCAGCTTTATATTTCATTAAATGTTTCTATTTTTATCTTCACTCATTTTCACACTTTATTGTTTCTTTCTGCTTACTTTGAGTTTATTTTAATGTTTTCAAACCTATTCCAGTAGGAACTTAGATTATTGACTCAAGAGTTTTTTGTATATGCATTTGGTACCATGTATTTTCTTTCTACTCTGATTAACTGCATTACAGAACATTAACATGTTTTTAATTTAATTGTATGTTAAAAATATCCCTTAAGATGTCTTCTTTGATATATAGATATAGAGGTATGTTGTTCAATTTTTAATAATTTGGAGAAATCCCCTTGTATTTTTGTTATTGCTTTCTATTTTGATTCCACAGGGTCAGATAAAGTATTCTGTATGATTTCAATTCTTTCAATCTGTTGAGATTTGTTTTATTGTGTAGGTGAATCTACCAGGGGTGACTGAAAAACATGTATTCTAAAAATATCAAATTTTTGTTCTAAAAGTATCAAATAGTATCTGCTGTTTCTCAAAAAGGCATATTTCCGTATCAAACTAGTGTCATGGTAGAAGATTATTCTTCCCATCAATTCAAAGCGAATTTGAGATGTCCTACCATTATCAGCAAGCATATACTGTAAATCCGATCTTAAGGCCTGTCAGCAACAGTGTAGACAATGTGGTGTCAGGACTTCAGCTTTGCTCAGTCACTCCCGGGACTCACAGGCAATGGATTATAGTTTATGTGATTCATAATATGACCCCAAAGAAAGCAATGGGTACCTCATCTTTTATAATGTAAAATAAAATCACATGGGACAGCCAGAGAAAACTCAGAGACTACAAACCCTATTGCCAATCACATGAGTAAAATATCTTATTAATATCTTATTAGGGACTAAGTATAAATAGTTTATTATTAGTACTTTGTTGTATATAAGTAAATTGTATAGAGGTCTGTAAATACATTTTACTATCCTCCCAAGGCACGTTTACCTCTTCTCAAGCCCAGAGTTCAAGAAATCCTCAAATAACAATTATATTGGTACTTGGTCCAGATTATAAAATCAAAGTGTGTATGTGGCCCAAAATACATTCAAAAATGAAATCACTTTTATTTCTTAATTCAATTTCTTACTAGAATAAGTTCGTTTATTAAGGTTAATCAATTTCGAGGGGTCTATATAAGCATTGCTGCAAAAGACCTCTTTAAAGTGTTAAAGAGTAAAGACGTCACATTGAGGACTACCTGACCCAAATCATGGTCTTTTAACCACTTCATAGGCATGTGAAAGAATGGGTAATTAGTAAAGAATATCAGAGAGGAATCGATACATGTCAATGATCACATTGGCAAAAAGCACTAAAAGTATTGTGGGTTGGTAGAAGAACAAACTGGTCTGTCTTAGAAAAAGTAGAGCCAAAACGCTCTTTGAAGCAAGATTTTGAGACTTGGGTCTCATGTCCTCTGGGGATGCTGTCAGGAGAGGTTGGTCCTTGGGAAAGGACATCATTTTCAGTAAAGAATAGGGCTAGTGAAAACGAGGTAGCTGCAACCGTGGGCTCCAGCCTAAGGATCAGGAGAAGAGTGTAGGACTCGGCAATGTTCCACTTTGTTGTACATAAGGCCATTATGAATCAAAACTGACTTGCTGACGTCTCACAATCACAGCACACACGCTTTGTACGAGCCCTGGTGGTACGGTGGGTTAAGCATTGGGCTGCTGACCAATCGATCAGTGTTTGGAAGGTACCAGTTGCCCCAAGGGAGGGAGAGGAGGCAGTCTGATTTCAAAAATATTTACAACCTCAGAAGCCCTCTGGATAACTATAGTGTTGCTATGAATGAGAATGGACGTGAACGCTGTGGGTTGATCAGCTTTAGGGAAACCCCGGTAACACTGCGGTTCAACTTAGCTTAACCAATAGGTCCATGTGTCACATGCACTGGTGGCTCTGTCAGAGAGAGATGCGGCTTCTATAAACATGACAGCCTGGAAAACTCTATGGTCCAGCAACTAGATATCGAGAGCCTGGTGATGTCGTATAAATTCTCAAATTCGACAGACTGAAGCCAGGCATCCCGAGACAACCAAATGACAGGTCCAAATTTGTCTGCCTCCTGTTTGTTTTTTTGTTTTTTGTCTGTTTGGGTTCTTAGTTTTTTTAGATTCTGAATTGAATTAGCATCACTTGTGAAACAAAAACACAGACAAATCCAAATAGGCCCTTTGGAAACGGCTGGCAAGGTAATAGGAAGGCGGATTAAACTGCACTGCACTCAGTAGGGCTTCCTGCTCGGCTATCTTGTGAGGTACCCACCACCGTAGAAAAGGGCTCCGAATCCTGTGATGTAGACAGTTGAATTTGGCTGAAAAGACTCAGAAGCTGCTGGCAAACAAACTCGGCGTATGTCATCAGTAAAGGTGACTCTAGGAGAGAACTGTACAACAGCAATGTCGTTTTCTTGTTCTGGAGAATTATATCGCTCATGGACAATTATTCTTTTGACATTTCTTTTCATTAGAGGAGGATCGATTGTTGTTCCAAAGCTAACAGTCCATGAACGTGGATTGGTGTTACTAGAAAGAGTTAGAAATCAACAGAATATATGAACTGTACAATAGTAATTATATTTAGGCAAAAGGAAAAACATCCTGTGGTTATTTGGTTACAGTTAAATTTTTCTTTTACATTTATAAAAGATTCTATTGCTACTATTTTGAAAAATCAAATATATAAAAATGGCATTTAGAGCTGAAATCTGATACATAACATTAGAAGTTTATAAATAAAAGGCCCGTTCGTTCATTTTTAGTAAATACATCTTTAACATCTATGGATGAGGACATATTTGAAGTGCTTGGGGGTATAGTGATTAATAAAATCAAGAAGGTCCCTGCTCACAAGATGATTAGATTCCAGTTATGAAAAAAGATGAGTAAATTAATAAATACACAAATAACTTTGATATTGATATATAATACTCCTTCATTTATCCTTTCAGCAAACCGATACTGACTATTTATATGCGATGGTGTCATATAGTGGTGGCTAAGGTTTTACTACCATGCTGGAGGCTTGGCCGTCAGTATCTGAAAATACTAGCATGGCAGGTTGCGCATGATGGGCACGTTTTAGTGGTGCTTTAGACTACGACAGACTAGGAAGAAGGAAGAGGAAACCCACTTCTGGAAATTCAGAAACTGCACATTTTTGAATAACAGTGAAATGTTGTCTGATATAATGCCAGGTAGGAAGACACTCAGTGTAAGGTTGAACAGGAGTTTCCTCCTTAAAGTACAGTCCACTCCAGCAGTGACATGAATGGAGAAGAGCTTTCAGGGCGTTCAGTTGCTTATGTGGCACAACTCAAAGGGAAAGGATACTGCCACATACATCCGTTAATAATACTGAGAAGAAACCACTACAAACATTCATTAATTATTGAAACATGGGATATACAAATATGAATTTAGGAAAATTGGAAGTCCTCCCAAATGAAATTGAAAGCATGAATATTGACATCCTATTCACTGATGAGCTTAACTGGACAGGCACTGGCCATTCTGAATCAGACAGGCAGATGTTTTACTATGTCAGAAATGACAAATTTACAAGGAAGTTTGTCACTTTTATCAAAAAACCCCAAAAATCTATCCAGAGGTACAATGCTGTCAGTGATAGAATGTGCCCACAAGGAAGACCAGTTTAATACAACTGTAATTCAAATGTAATTCAAATGTACACAAAAATCACCAAAGCCAAAGCTGAAGAAATTGAAGCTTTCTATTAATTTTTGCAGTCTAAAATTGACCAAACATGCAAGAAAGAGCCATTGATAATCACTGGTAATTGGAATTCAAAAGAAGGGAGCAAAGAGGAAGGAAGAAAAGTTGGAAATATGGTTTTTGTGACAAAAGCAATGTTGGAGTTCACTTAATAGAACGTTGCAAGATCCATGACTGCTGGTCTTGGAAATACCGTTTTTACCATGAATAGTGACTACACCCAGGGACTTTGATAGATAGAATATTCAGGAATCAGTTCCACTACATCTGTGGAAAGGGACGGTAGAGAAGCTGACTATCAGCAGCTAAAACACAGCAGGAGGCAGACTGTGCAACAGACCAACTGTTTGTATATAAATCAGGTTGAAGCTGAAGGAAATGAAAACAAATCCACGAAAGCCTCGCGCTTTTCCAGAGACTATCTAGAGCAGCAGTTCTCAACCTGTGGGTCGCGACCCCTTTGAGGGTCAAACAACCCTTTCACAGGGGTCGCCCAATTCTTAACAGTAGCAAAGTCACAGTTATGAAGTAGCCACAAAAATAATTTGATGGTTGTGCGTCACCAGCACACGGGGAACTGTATGAAAGGGTCATGGCATTAGGAAGGTTGAGAACCACTGAAGAAAGGATTGGCACTTTGAGTACCAGTAAATGAAGACCAGAGAAGTCATGGGATCCCACCAAGAACATCGTGCATAAAGAAAGCAAAAGGTCATTGAGATAACAGGAAAGAAAGAAAAAGCAAATGTGCATATCAGAAGAGACTCAGAAACTTCGGATCAGTAGAGAAAAACTAAAGCAAAAGGAAGAATTAATGAGGTAAAAGAGATGAATAATAAATTTCAAAGGGCTCTTCAAGAATTAGGGTATTATAATAAAATGTACGAAGACCTGGGGTTAGAACATGCTCAGCATTTCTCAAACTGAGAGAACTGAAGAAAAAAAACCAGCCCTCAAGTTGTATGATGTTGAAAGATTCTTCAACTTGTATGGAGTTAAGCTTTTAGAAGCTTCATTTTTTGGTAGGGCCCAACTCAGAATAAGCTACAAGCTTCCATTTAATAATCAAAGCATGGAATATATGAAGTATATCTATAGGAAAACTGGAAGTTGTGCAACGTGAAATGGAATACATGCAGATCTATATGCTAGAAGTGGGCAGACAGCCACCACCTCGCATCAGACAATCACCTGGCTTACTACGCCAGGACCAATTCCAGAGCAGTGACAGCATGGTCATCATCGAAAGAACTTTTCTCCCTTTGACTCATTTCCTTTTGCAGTTTTACTTTTCCTCCTGTTTTTTCTTTTCTTTTCTTTTATTTATTCGGACAATTTTTAGGTCTGAGGGATAAGGAAGTGGGAGGGTGTTTTTAGTTTGTTTGTTTTACAGCATACTGTAGATAGCTATCCAGCCCATCTGAACGCATGAAATCAGCAATGGTGCCCTGTTAAACCCTCCATAAATGTTATTTATTTTGCGTGTTGAGATGGGCTGTATAACTATCTGCAGTGTGCTTTAAAGCAAACAATCAAAAATACCCCCCAGATTCCTTTTTCATCACCCCATCGTTCTCTCTCTCTTCAGTATCTTATTCCTTCCCACTCCCCATTCCTACCCCCATCCCTGGCCTCCTTGCAGTGATTAAAGTCCTATGCAGAATGAAGCACCATTTTTTTGTGTAATAGTGTTTAATACCTTCCCTAACGTCACAGCTCTTCTGGGTTGATGTTCTACCCACTAAATCCTGTTGCCACTTGCCTTCAGATATGCTCAGGAATCCTTATTTACAACATGAAAAATGACACTGGAGAGTGGTCACTAAGTGATTCTACTTAAGGGATTCAGAATTTTAATTCCAACAGCAGTAAAATAACTGACTGGTTATTATCTTGAAAAGTAAAATTAAATATGAGGGAAAATGGTAATTTCAACTTATTTTACATAATTTATGTCATAATTACAGTCAAACTGAATAAAGGGTGAATAAAGTATTCACAACTTGTTTGGAAAAATATATGAAAACACAATAGTCTTTATTTGGTACCGAGAGAGACCATATTAAAGGTTGCATTGGATGAACCAGGTCGCCTTTCTTAGTCAAATAAATCTTTATTGAAGGGCCTGTCCTTATCAACTTGGTAATTTTCTCATTTGGTCATGAACTGCTCTTTTTATGTCAATACTTGATTTGAGAAGTTCTTTATCATTACAGCTACCAACTCCAAATGTGCATCTTTTAAAGAATGTAATTTCACTTTGTAATTAATTTGCATACTATTCATGATCAGCAGATGCCTGAGCCAGACATTTGGCAGAAACAGAATTAGATTTAAATAGAGGAGATGGTTATTTAAGATACTGTCTGTTTTAGAAGTCAATAGTAACTATTTGTGTTTTGATGACTTCTATTTTCTTATATAATTTATAACTTTTGGAATTTGATCAAACAATACTAGGAAGATGACTATTTCTCCCTCTATTCTGAATAAACTGCCCAAATAAATATATAAATATCACGTATTAGGAAAACCCTGGAAATCATTGTTTTTATTTTACCCAATAATATTTTGGTATTATTACTCAAAATGATTTTTATTAGTGGGGTCCACCCTTAGGTCAATAACTTACTACTTAAAGCAGTGTGCTGCAGTCACAAGCCATGTGTTGCTAATCAAGCTGGCTCCACACTGATGCATGCTGTTATACTGGAGAGAGGCTTGCCACGGCCAAGCAGACTTGGCTGCAATGTCACCAGACATTATTCTGTTGACTATTAATGGAACAACTCGTTTCCCACAACCTGAAAGAAACGAGATCATTAAGTTATAACAAATAGCTCCCTCAAATTTATTGGATACACAGAACTTAATGGCATATGACAATGCAATAACATTACATCTATTATAAAAGCATATTCTGTATCCGTAGTCTTTTTCTATATTTTCTGGTGTGTTGGTATTATGCTCACCTCTGTATGGATACATTAAGAAGCTCTGGTGGAGCTGTCAGATGAGCTTTAGACTGCTAAGCTAAAGGTTGTTGGCTCAAATCCAACAACCAAGGTTCTCTGTGGGAGTAAGATGAGGCTATCTGTTCCTTGAGAGATTCACAGCCTTGGAAAACCTACGTAGGCCCCCTATGGGTCAGCATCAAATCGATAGCAGTGGATTTGTGTTTGGGTCTTGTTTTGGTTTTTGTTGTTTGGTGTGTTTATAGATTGTGATGACAGCAGAGGACCAGACAGTGGTTCTGTTGAGCACAGGGTCAAGTTGGGTCAGAATCAACTCAATGGCACAAAACAACAGTAACAACATAGATATGGGTATATCTTGCTATTTGAAGACATGGTGAACTGCAGAGGATGTGTTTCAATTCAGCCCTAAGAACTTGTAGTGCCAATTATGCAGGTCTGAGAGCGCATCCCGAGTCGTGTTTCCCATTGATACAGCAGCGCTTCCTCCACATGAAGTCATTACCAGAGGAACAATCCCACCTTGTGGAAAAGTAATTACTCATTTGTTGGAATCCACTCCCCATTTTCCTGGTGCATTTGGTGTGAATTTGTGCAAGATTACTGTAGTATGAACCATATTTTGTCTGTTAAACCAAACCCATTTTAACCAGTGGATGAGGACTCATAGTGGCCCTACAGGAAAGAGTAAAAACTGTCCATTAAAGTTTCCAAGACTGTAGATCTGCAAAGGAGCAAAGAGACCCCTCTTTCTCCCATGGAGCAGCTCATGGGTTTAAAACAGCTAACTGCCCAATGCTTAAATGATGATACCACCAAAGCTCATTGTATTTTTACATGCCCTTCACCTTCAGAGCTACTGGGAAAAACTCTAGAAATATTGGGGTAATCAGGTTAAAGATTATTATACTTCTTAAGGTTCCTACTAAGAACTAAGCATATTTTTAGCATGATGGCAATGAGGAATATGCAGCATGTTTGATATGTTCCATTCTAGCTCCAAGTAATTAAGTATCCGAGAAGAAAATTCATCTTACTGGTATTGATTAAACTTAAACTCTGGCTAGCTATTTTAGAAATCGCCATTGCTCTGCACTAACTACAGATCACCATCTGTTTCCCCGCCTCCAGCCTTGCCCCTCTACACCATTCTCCACATTATGACCCTTGTGATCCTTCTGAAATCTGTAAAATCTTTCAGTGGCTTCTCATTGCCCTCCAAATAAAGTAAAAAATTTTCAGCATTGTCCTGTGTCTTCATTATTATTAATTATAGATTTTCCTCACATTCTCAAGCCACATTTTATGTTCCTAATATACTGACTTTCTCCACTCCCTGCTCTCCAGTTATAAATATCTATGTTCTTGAGCACCTGGAGATCTTTTTACAGACTACTTCCTCCTATCCAGAACTCTCATCTTACTGTTCACTGGGCTTAAGCTTGCTTCTTCTCCTATTTCAAGGACACAAGGCCTAGTCAGCTGCCTCCTTTAGAGACTCTTATAGCACTGTCTACTTAATATGTAAATATATATATATGAGGATGGGGAAATAGATCTATGTGCATATAGTTATAGGTTTAGTATTAAGGTAGCAGATGGACATTGGGCCTTCACTCAAGTACCCCCTCATTACAAGAATACTTTGTTCTATTAAATTGACATTCTAAGATGCTCACCTTCCCAACACAATCGCTGAAGACAAAGCGGGTGCATTAGCAAATGTGGTGAAGAAAGCTGATGGTACCCGGCTATTAAAAGATATAGCATCTAGGGTCTTAAAGACTTGACAGTAAACAAGCGGCCATCGAGCTCAGAAGCAACAAAGCCCACATGGAAGAAGCACACCAGCCTGTGCGATCACGAGGTGCTGAAGGGATCAGGTATCAGAACAAAAAAATCATCAGAACAAAAAAAACATATCATTGTGGATGAGGGGGGGAGTGCGGAGTGGAGACCCAAAGCCCATTTGTAAGCCGCTGGACATCCCCTTACAGAAGGGTTTCAGGGAGGAGATGAGCCAGTCAGGGTGCCATGTAGCAACGATGAAACGTTCGATTTTCGTCTAGTTCCTAAATGCTTCCTCAACCCTCACAATCATGATCCCAATTCTACCTTACAAATCTGTCTAGAACAGCGGATGTACATTGGTACAGATAGGAACTGGAAACACAGGGAATCCAGGGTGAATGATCCCTTCAGGACCAGTGGTGTGAGCAGCGAAACTGGGAGGGTGGAGGGAGGGTGGGTTGGAAAGGGGGAACCAATTACAGGGATCTACATGTGACCTTCTCCCTGGGAGATGGACAACAGAAAAGTGGGTAGAGGGAGACAGCGGACAGGGCAATATATGACAAAATAATAATTTATAAATTATCAAGGGTTCATGAGGGAGGGGGGAGGAGGGGGAGGGAGGGGAAAAATGAGGACCTAATGCCGGGGGCTTGGGTGGAGAGCAAATACTTTGAGAATGATGAGGGCAATGAATGTACAAATATGCTTTACACAATTATGTATGTATGGATTGTGGTAAGAGTTGTATGAGCCCCTAATAAAATGATTAAATAATATGAAAGAACTTCAAAAAGTTCCTGGGAGAATTATATTATCCTTCCATTTTGTTTTCCTTCAAAAATGTTAAACCCACTCATAATTTCCCAATTTATCTATCTAGCTTCCATATCTATGTCATATTCACAATAGTATTGTCAGGGTCAGGTATACTTTTTGGCACTTGGTAGATGTTAGAAAACAAAATCATTGAATAAGCAAATGCTGATGTTTAATAGGTTTGCAAGCCATAGATGCAAATGAATAATCACTTGGGCTTAGATTCATCATTACTTAAGCATATTTTAAAATGGAGGCCATGGTGGTAAGTAAGTAGTAAGTCGGTGGAATATTGAGTAAAATCATTATACTACTGAAAGGAGTATATTAGGAAAACTGTGCAAGACAGTTACAGATAATTGAGTTCACTACTTTCTCATTACTTTATTTCTCAGCAGAAAGCACATTTCTTAGAGATTAGAAAACCGTAAAAGAAAGTCCACTTGGAATAAGTTTTGAAATAAAACAAATAATTTCTTCAATATTTAGCTAAGAATTTCCACCATGTAAAATATTTTTCATGAACACGACTTAAAAACTTCAGTTTCATGTGGCCTATTCGATACTTGCCCTCGTGAAAAGACGACTGAAGATATGAATGCTATAGCAAAATGTGGTGAGGAAATTAGATGGTGTCTGGCTATCATGAAGAATGGCATTGGGGAACTTGAAGACTTGACTTAAAACAAGCAGCCAGCTCAGTGAGGTGTTAAATAAGTCCACCGGAAAGAAGCACACTAACCTGTGTAAATAATAAAATGTATGACCAAAGGGGAGAATTTTATTAGAGCTTGGGAGCACCCAGTTTGCAGAAGATTATGGATGACAGTGAAAGACCAAATCCATTTCCACACTCCCACATGGATCTCCCACATGGATTACATCTCCAGTGAATTTCCTCTGATCTTTGACCAGGAGTACGCATCACCTTGCAGAGTGCACTGGAAAATGGATTAATGCAGATGTAGTTATTTAAAACTTTATCATTTGTTCCCCTTCTGACCCTTTTAAACTTCTAGTTTTAAATATTTTCTGCTTTCTTTTCAGTTGAGGTTATTCTGTCTTTTATTTTGTTATTGCTTTTTTAAAAAAATATGAAATCCAGCATATGTAGATCTATAGAGACAGTAACTGATTAATATATTCTTGGGTTATAGCAGGGAAGTTTAGGGAGAAATGATGAGTCGATAACAGTGAGTACAAGAATGAAGAAAAGTGTCTAAAATTGATTGTGGTGATGATTACATAACTCTTTTAAAGATATTTAAATCACTTAATTTTATGGTATGTGAATTGTGTCAATACAATTGTTAAAATTAAAAGGAACAACAAAAAATCAGTTTCAGAGTTAGGAAAAATTATGGACCTTTAAATAGTGTGTGGGAAAATATCCATTATTTTTTAATGTGCTTTTTCTTTTTTAATTAATAAATCATTTAATTGGGGGCTCTTACAGTTTTTATAACAATCCATACATCAGTTGTATCAAACACATTTGCACATATGTTGTCATCATCATTTTCACAACATTTTCTTTCTGCTTGAGCCCTCTTTTTTTCCCTCCCTCCATTATATTTTATTCTATTTTTCCATGAACCTTTTGAAGTTCCCTTGTATTAGGGGTATATCTCTTATATACTTCTCCCAAAACTGTGGAGTATGAATGGAAAACTATGAGTTAATATTTGAAGTTATTCTTTCTGATATAGAATTTGAACTTGTTTCTATAAGTTTACTAAACTTACATGCTTGGACCATTAGCTTTCCTGTTGATGAGCTCATTGCTGAAAAACAAAAGAGAACAAATTATGATGAATTGATATTTTCCCAGTTGGTATCTCTAACAGCATTATTGCAACAACAGAAATACCACAAGCAGATAGAGTTAACAAACATTTATTCTCTCATAGTTTAAGAGGCTAGAGGTTCAAATCCAGGGAACCAGCCCAAGTGGAAGTCTTTTTCTCTGTCAGCTGTGGGTGAAATGCCACATCTGTCAGCCAGAGATCCTTGGAGATCTCCGTGTGTCTCCACCTCAGTTTTATCTTGGGTCTAGTTCTAGGAGGTTCTCAACACAAGGAGCCTGGCTCCAAAGGACCCATTCTGCTTTTGGCAAGCCTTTCTTAGTGGTAGTGGGTCCCTCTGCACACTTCTCTCTCTTTTTATCTCTTCTATGATAAAAGATGAGGCAAGCCACATCTCAGGGAAATTTCCTTTCCATCAGATCAGGGCTGTAAAGATCAGTAAAGGTGTTGCATCCTAATTTAAACCCTTTACAACTGATTGATCATTTAAGATCACATTGTGGGAAAGGGATATATCATTACATACTGCTGACCACTGAGAATCAAGGCATAGTAAAGTTGGCATATATATTTGGCGGACAAGTTCAATACATGACAATGGCAGTGGCCGAGAATTATCACAGGATTCTTACCATAATTACATTTTAAACAGTCAAGAGATCAATCAAGGGAATGGTTTTCTGATATGACAACTCCCCCCACCCTAAACAAATCCATTGTCTTCAAGACAATTCCAATTCCTAGCAAAAGTGTAAAATCGCCCCATTGGGTTTTCAAGATCATAAATCATTACAGAAGCGGGCTGCCACACCTTTCTTCCAAAGTACTAATCGTGGTTTTGTTCTGTTGCTCTTTCAGTTAGCAAACATGTGTTTTAAGCACTGTGCCTCCAGGACTCTGGCCTGACAAGAAACACATACAATTTTTGAAGATAACCTCCCCACTTCTTTTTGTAGATAGGCAGCCTCTAACTGGGTGGATTAAGGCTCCTAAGCCACAAATAACTAGCAGTAGTCCAGAGCAGTATTTTCCCAACGGTGCAGGCCTCCGCTTAGGGAGATGGGAAAGAATGTGCGCATAAATGGCCTCTCGGTGTTAAAGCCAGGTTTAACCAGAACAAAGCTGCTTTTCTCTGATTGCTTAAACTTTTATATAAACCCCTTGCATTCCTCCCATCCATCTCCTTTTTTGTGTGTGAAAAAAATTTTTTAAGTCTTCTGATCAAGGGGTTGTAGAGCTAAAATTTGTCTGAAACATTTTCAGAAAGTATAATTAAAATATTTCTAAAATACTATTTTCTAATGACCGAAATGCTTTTTCTGGACTAAACTATTGTGTATCATTACCCAACATGTACTGAGTGTTGGTAAGAAGCAAATACTGAACTGAACCTAAGGTTAAACTCTGCCACTTTATGGAACAGTTAGGATTCTGACAAAGGTTACATTTAAATTAGTTGAAAGGTATACGGAACTATGATGATTTTCATGCACAAATGATTTACATGAACAAGCCAGTCAGGGTGCAGTGCAGCAAAGATGAAACATACAACTTTCCTGTAGTTCCTAAATGCTTCCTCCCCGCTACTATCATGATCGCAATTCTACCTTGCAAGCCTGGCTAGACCAGAGGGTGTACACTGGTACAGATAGGAACTGGAAACACAGGGAATCCAGGGCAGATGATCCCTTCAGGACCAGTGGTGAGAGTGGCGATACTGGGAGGTTGGAGGGAGGGTGGGGTAGACAGGGGGAGCCGATTACAAGGATCTACGTATAAGCTCCTCCCTGGGGGATGGACAACAGAAAAGTGGGTGAAGGGAGACGTTGGACAGTGTAAGATATGACAAAATAATAATTTTTAAATTGTCAAGGGTTCTTGAGGGAGGGGGAAGTGGGGAGGGAGGGGAGAAATGAGTTGCTGATGCCAAGGGCTTACATGGAGAGCAAATGTTTTGAGAATGATGAGGGTAACAAATGTACAAATGTGCTTGACACAATTGATGCATGTACGGATGGTGCTAAGAGTTGTATGAACCCCCAATAAAATGATAAAAAATGATTTACTAGTCAAAATTTGGTTAGATTTTCTTTCTACCTACCTATTTTCCCAAATTCATGTTCTTTGCTTTCCATTTCTTCTTATGCAAAATGAAATTCTTTACATCCCATTCTGTAAGTCTCACAGAGAAACTAATGATATTTAATTTCAGAAAGTGAGAGCTTTTGAAAATACTCAATTCAAAGATACCCTGAAGGTATTTGCTCAGTCCTCACTCTGTAAAGGAAGTTAACTTTCCCCTGAGGTGCAGTGTAAAGAAGTAAATGTTTGTTTCATTTAAAAACAAGTGTATTTCCTGTGCCCCTCGTCGTAATGCATTCGGGAGCCCGGGAGTGTAGTGGGCTATGAGTTGGAGTGCCGACCACACGGAATAAAGAGGAGCTTTCTACTCCCATGCAGTTCCAGTCCTTGAAACCCACAGGGACACTTCTCCTCTGTCATATAGGGTCCCCTGATCAGCATTGTTCGGTGTGGTGGTTGCAATGGATTATTGAACCCAGCAGAGAAGTAGAGTGTCATCGAGGGATATGTGATGTCAGAATAGGATAAAGGAAGTTAGTGTGTAGAGGCATTTATAGGAATTATCCTCTGCTTCATAGGAATTATCCTTGGACAGATATGGAATTGGATTCTACTCTCCCTGTAGCTGGAGGAGGTCAGAGGTGGCTTCCACAGAAATTTCTTAGCATGTATAAGAATCACCTGGAAATCTTGTTAAGATCCATATTTGGGGTGACATGCCAGTTTTCAGCACGAGGGTCCAACAGGAGTGAACCCATTCAAAGTTCTGTCCCTACCACACTCACATCATTGGCAATATGAAGAATCGGATGTTAACATGATGCAATATTACTGAGAAATTTGTCAAGACAGAACATAGATCCTTGCCCAATTCTGAATGAATTGTGGGCTACCGTTTCATTTCTAGAGGAGCTGAAATCCCTGCAGCTTTTATGTGCTTTGGAATGAGGGGAGTTCCTTCACTAGCTTTGAATTGAAAGTAGACGAAACGTTCCTGAGGATGATGCTTAGGCCTGGAAGGAATCTTCTGAGTTTTCTACAAATTGGCTTCTTCTAGGCAGTAGTAACTGCGCTATTTCATTTTGGAAATTATGAAACTTCTACCTTCTTCTACTTCCATCGCTTGAATTCGTGTTTTCAGATTCCCAAGGTCTATGCCTGGGAAGAAGGCCTTCTTGCTTGGTAAGGCGGAACCCCCTCCGTGAGCTGGACTGACCCTGGTTTCATCACTGGGCTCAGGCAGAGGAACAATGGCGAGGAGGAAGCCGGAGGATGCAGAGTTTTATTCTGATGTGCTTGGGGTCGCTATGGGTTGGAGCCGACTCCCTGGTGCCTAAGAACAAGAAGGCCTATGCACAACCTAAAACCCCCTAGATAGCAATGGCCTCTATATTTGTATCATGTTTTCTAATTTCTTAGATACTTTCTTAGTCTATAATTTAAGGAAGCAAAGGCACCACAAGCGAATAATTTGGGTGGTCCCGTCATGACTCAATGGGGTTAGATTTCATCTGCTGACTCTTGTTTGGTAAAGCGGAACACCCTCCGTGAGCTGGACCGACCCTGGTTTCATCAATGAAACAGCACATCCAGTACAGTCATTAAGGAAACTGAAGCTCCTGGGCTGAGTCTGGATGAACCAAAAATCCCAGGCGGTCTATGACTACTTCGTGCTTCACTTCAGGTTCCGAGAGGTCAGGCTTTACATTCCTGACAGGTTACCTTGTTGTTGGGCATTACAGAGACAGCATCATGGAACTTAGCAGAATGAGCACTATTTCACAACCTCGATTAATTTCCTTTCCGCCCCAACAAAGACGGTGGTTTGAACTCTTGACAGGTTCTTCCTTCCTGGGTTGGGAGAGGTTCCAAGCTGTAGTCCCGAGTAGCTGACTCCGTCACACTAGCAAACTGCTGCCCATCCCTTTTTCCTTCAGATTTTCACTTCCCAATCAAGTATCATCTTGAAAAGCCAGCCAGACTCTGACAGGGGTAGGGCATCCTGTTTCACATCTGATACAAACCACGTACTTGAATTCTCTTCTTCAACCTCTATGAAGTACAGGACGAGAAGTTGTAAGAAATATCTATACTTCTCTGTTGGAAATAGATGCTTGTGGAAGCAGCTTCCTCTACCAGTTTCTGTCAGCTAGGCTCTTCAAAACTCTCAGTATGATGATATTAGTGATGCATTTCCAAGAGAAATAGGTTAAATGAAAAAAATCGGTTTTACCACAAAAGCTCCCCACTTGTCCATGGAGCCTCTCGTGTTATTAGTATTCCGAGAACACATTTGGAGAAATGGTAGCAAAATACTTTTGCAGTGAGCTGTAGGCTGGCATCTTAGCTATTTTTGTTCGCTATGTTTTTTTGTATCCTTTTACATTTTCAGGTCTCTAATGGAGGAGTTTTATAATTATCAAGTTCAATACTTCACATACAGAGCACAGAGAAGAGAGTTGCTAAAGATCCTGCTAGAAAAGTGATCAGAATATGAGCTAAGGGTGAAGGAAGAAAAAGTGGTACTATGTGTCAATGGTTCCAATCATCTATTTTTGCTGTCTATAGTGAAATTTAAAAACATATGTATAGGATGCTTTTAGTAATTCCAAAGTGGGTATATCACCCAAATCTTCATGAGAAAAAAAGTTAACAAAATCTTTATAACATCAATATTTACAGAAATTATTGCTATCTTTTAACAGGTAAGACTTGAATTTGTGTTTCAGGACAGTGCCTCCAGAAATGCATTTGCTGCTCCGCCCCCTTGGTGCTTTCATTTGCTTCCTACCAGAAAGAGTTGCGGGTCAGATGAACATCCGATGGTGGTAAAGGCTTGCCTCTGTTTTGGAATAAGCATCACTCAGTTCCTGTAAGTAGAAAGCACTTGCTGCATAGCTTCAGACGTGCTTTTCTCGGTGCTGGTTGTTAGGGCGGTCAAGTCAGGCCAACCCATCACCACCCTCTGCACAACAGAGCGCAACGCTGCCGGGTCCTGAGCCCTCTGCGCCATGTTCCTTTGGTTGAACCCATTGTTGCTGCCCCTGCGTCCATCCCACGCCTTGAGGGCTTTCCTCTTGCTGCCTCGCCACTGGAGCAAGCATGCTGTGCGCCAGGGGCTGCCTCCCTGACAGGTGGCCAATGTATGTAAGATGAAATCTTATCTCCCTGCCTCTCAGGAGCACTCACGCTTTCATCAATGAATGTTAAATCCATGAAATGTCAGTTTTTAAATAAAACATTTCTTGTAGCTCAATTCTTGCTATTATTTGAAATTAAAATAATGGCTAGTAAATTTTAGTAATGAAATAAAGCGCTTGACAATACATAAAAAGGTACTCGCTTACCTTTTAGTTGAACTGAAGAGACATTTATTGGTAGGGCTCCTGTGTTTCTTATCTTCTGATTTAAAATGCGGTAGATTTTTTTCTCTCTTATTGCTCTTTGCTCGGTAGAGGGAAATTGGAATATCACAATGATATCTACTTTCACACAATCTTCCTCTGGACTAGGAATGCAACAAACACATTCAGTACCCTCCTAAACTCATCCCTCTATCTCCTTCCCTGGAATGCATTCTAGTTACTCAGAGCATCCAGGACTAAACTCCCCACACATTGATATGCTTCTAAATGTCACTTTCTCACCAAAGGTAATGTCTTAATGTGTGTTGTATTTTTTTGTTATTTTAAGTGCACGTCCATCCTCCATTTAAAGATTTATTACAACCATTGTGTATGATACAGGCCTAAAAAAATACTGGTGGAAATCATAGACTCAGAGGATTGAAAGAAACAAGTGGTCCCTGCATTAATTATTCATCTCTCTGATAGTGAAATCAATTCTGCAGTAGCCATGACACGTGGTCCTCTAACCTCAGTGGAATAATTAAAAAGGTGGAAATTAACCTCCCTAAAGAGGCTCATTCCCTCTAGTCAGCTCTAATTTTATGAGAGTTCACTTTGAGTAAAAGTATGTCTTCCTACATATTCCATTCCAGTAGACTTAAGCCTGCCAACTAGATAATGCAGGAAACATCAAATTCTTCTTCCACATAAGGATTTAAATATAGCAGCACTATGGCTAGTGAGTTTTCTCCAGATTAGACATGTCCAATACCTTCACCTTTTAAAACAGACAAGTGTCAAGTCTCTTCACCTGTGGAATTTCAATTTAAATATTTTTAAAATGGAAATCAAACAATTTTTATTATAATAAAAAACCCAATATATAATTATCTGTCTTATTTTTATGCTCCAAAAGGTAAATTGATAGGCATTCTATATACTCTGGCCCATTTAAGCTCTCTGGAATGTGAAAATATGAATATTCAGAACTGCATGTCAAATTGGAAAAGGGATAACCACGTTATTTTCCCTATTAACTCAGTTGGGTTGGCATTGCTTTTTAGATGAAATCTCTCTGAACCAATACACAGGCATGCCAGTGGAAGTTCCCACAAACTCCCTGCCATCAAGTGCAGCCCTTCTCAGAGTGATCTTATAGAACAGAGGAGAACTGCTCCGGTGGGCTTCTGGGGCTATAATTGTTTATGGTAGTAGACAGTCTCGTCTTTCTCCTGTAGAGCAATTGGTGGCTTCAAATTCCTGCTCTTGTAGTGAGAAGCCCACTGTGTAACCCACTTACATCACCAGGGCTCCTTAAGGAGTTTTTAAGACTGATATTATGGGTGCAATGCTATCCCAAATCAGAGTTTGAAAATAAAGGCATGGCTTCTAGAATGTTCTAAATTTGATAGATTCATCTTCTAGAATTGTAGAAATTGTCCAATTCACACAATAAATCCTTTGGAAGTTACTAATTACTCAGTAAATGTGTAAGCTTCTGAGTATTATATCTTGGTTCTCTCAGTTCCAGACATTGTCACTTGGGGACTTTTGAATGAATCACTTCCCTCCCTTGCCCCTTCTCTCCAGTCTTGGTTCTCTCATTTATATATTTCAAGGCTATAGAGATGATGCTTCTGAAAATGTCAACCTAAAATTTAGCTTATAGAAATACACAAAAATGAGGGTCCCCTGACCCCTTTGCTCTGTGTCCCTTCAAACTGGTGACATCACCTTTGTCCAGACATACATACGTCAGTCTGACCACATGGTTCTTGATATAATGCTTGCTCAAGGCTGAATCTATGAAAATCTCATCTACCTGTAATTATAAGAAATGCTATGTTAGTAAGATACTTTATAATATTTCATCAATTCAATATTTAAAAACTATAAAAAAAAGTCTGAGCTGTGCCACTATGTAAAATAGTGTTTCTCAACTCCAGTGCCACAAAATCATTTGTAAAATTTCTTATAAATTAGAGATGCTGAGACCACTCACCCAGAATTTTCATTTCAGTTCTTCTGGAAGGAACCTAGGTATTCATACTTTGAAAAAAGAGATATCTCCCCAAATGATTCTCATGCAGGAAGTAGGTATCTGGAGTAGAAACTATCTTCCTAAAATTCCATAGAAGCAAAGAGATGTAAAGCAGAGATGGGACAAAAAGGATACGGAGGTTTTCTGGGGTTGTGTCAAGAACTGTGGCTCAGGTCCTGGATTTGAAATGTATCTGTTGCTCATGAATTGGGCAACCTTAGGAGAGTTGCAGAATTAATTTAAACTTCAGTTTCTTAATCTACAAAACAAAGATAATGATGTGCTACTCATAAGGGTATAAAGACTAAACAAATATAAAGAGTATACTTTGGTAAATAATTACTGTTGGCAAGGAAGGCTTCAACTTTCTGCAGACTCTTATCTATAAAATTTAAGGAAAAGGTGAAGAGAGCTACAGACTTTGTTATTGTTGATTTGCATGCTCTAGGGTAAATCAGGGAGAAAGCAAGTAAGCTGCTGTTAAAATAGTAGACCGTAATTGCTTAGTTTGTGTTACAAAGGAAGAGGAAGAAAAGCTGTCTGGTAATCCCCCAGGTGAGGTGAATTGCCTGACACAGGCCTGGTGGTGCTTTGGTTTATGCTGAGCTGCTAACCACACGTTCAATGGTTCAATCACACCAGGAGGCTATCTACTCCCATAAAGATTTATATTCATGGGACCCCTATGTTGTAGCTGTTAGGTGTCATCAAGTCAAACAACCCAATGCATAACAAAAGGAAACACTGCCTGGTCCTGCACCATCTTCACAATTGTTGGAGCCCGTTGTTATGTTGCAGGCCATGCCAATCCCTCTCCGTTGGGGGCCTTTCTTGGTTTCGCTGACCCTCTTCACAAAGGATCACATCCTTCCCCAAAGACTTGTCTGTCTTGGGAACATGTCCAAAGTACGTGAGACAAAATCTCGCCAAATTGGCTTGTGAGAAGCATTCTGTAAATAATTTACAGGGTCACTGTTGGGTCGGAAATCAACTTGATGGCAGTGGGTTACCTAACATCTACTTGCTGTGTCCACTAGTGACCACTGGGTGGCAAGAGTATCATCTGAATATGGGTACAATATTTACATTTGGTAATACCCAAACCAAACTCACTGCCGACTCACAGCAACACTGTAGGATAGGGTAGGACTGCCCCTTTGAGTTTCTGAGATGGTAAATCTTTACAGGAGTAGAAAGCCCCATCTTTCCCTCTCATTTGATAATAGATGAGATGAACGCACAAAAATTTCCCCTAAATCCTATAAGTAAGGGTGGCGGTCGGGTGGGGAGTAAATGAGTGAGATTTTTCCATGAACAAGGAACAAGGTATAGCTTCCTTAGCACTGTTGTTAGATGTCACTGAGTCAGGTCGGACTCACGGGGACTCTAGGTACAAGAGATGGAAACACCACCTCGTCATGCACCATTCTCGTCTGCACCAAACAGGTGTTATGTTTGGACCCAATGCTGCAGCTATTCTGTCAATTAGACATTCAAATATGTGTGTTAGGAATCAAAATAGTTTATATGTAGTTCAAGTCTTAAAAATACTCTAAGGAAAATAATACTTTTCATTTCTATTTTAGTGGAAGATTAAACGTAGACTCAAATATTTTATGAATTTCCTAGCACCACACTGATAAAAACGGATTTAAACCCAAGTCTTCTAATTCCAGAAGTCATCTCCTTGAATTCTACCATGCAGCCCTTAGTTAAGAGTGATATAGGGGAGGGGTTAAAAAAGAGTGATGTAAATATTACTTTAGTTTTTTTCATAGACACATTTCAATAGTATACAATAGTATACAAATGATATATTGTCTGAATGATAAAGTAAAATACATTTGAAAATATTTTGGTAATAGTTGTAAGATAAGATCAGAGATAGCATTCAGAAAACAGAAATTGTTCGTATCCCCAAAATATTTTGAATTATACTTGGAAAAGAAAAACCTTCATGGGGTATGGAGAGATGAGATTTATAGTCTAGAAACAAAACTATTTTGGAAGATGTATTAGTCTGGGTACTTTAGAGAAACAAATCCACAGAAATTCATATATAAGAGAGAGTTTTATATAAATGGTATGTGTGCATCAAGAAAACATCCCAACCCAGTGCTACCCAAACCCACAAGTCCAACATTAACCCATATGTCCAACACCGATCCAGAAAGTCCTCCTCTATCTCACAAAGCAGGCACAATGATGTTGATTGCAGGAGGAAAGCCGAGTCAGTGAATGTGTAAGCATCTCAGCGCTGGCAGGGGTCTCCACATGGCTGCTCCAGCACCCAGGGCTGCATCAGGGTAGGTCCCTGTGGCTTCTGCTTGGGGATGTCTTACAGGAAGTCAGTCTTGCAAGCTGAAGCTGGGAACTGCTAAGGCAGCTTCACCCTGGTCTGACCATCACAAAGCAAGAGACCCGAGAACTAGAAAGGCGAGGCTCACCAAGCCATTTATCCCTCCGCCCTTCAATTAATCCCACATGTGTTTATCGGCCAGGTTGGCACAATAAATTAACTCAGAAGACATGCTTTATAATGGGGACATTTTCATAGTCATTTTTCTTCTTGTCATATCCAGTATTATGACTCATTATTTTGGGGAAATTCAGAAGAAAAAAAAAGCTAAAGCATATTAGGGAGAAAAGATGGCAAATGTTACAAAGTATAAAAGTAAAGAACATTTGTGTTTTTAAAGAAGTCTGGTTTGCAATTATTCTCTTAAAAAATTCCACCCACAATTGATCCCTTGGCAGTTCACCTTGTTGAGGAAGGGAGGCGTTGGATTAAGTTTTTGACTCTTTGGATGACATCATTCACCTGGCTACATGCCTCCTGAGAAGAATGTCTAAGTTCAGCATCAATTCTATTTTGGAGTGCTTAGTTTTCTGATGAGATAAGAACTAGACGTAATTTATGTAATCAAAATAAAAGTAAGTTTCTTTTTTATCATCTGGATTCCAGGACCCTGCCCTAATCAAACCGAGAGGCTAAAGAATTGGCATTGAAATAATCTTTAGGTAATTCAAGTAGTCTGAGGACAACAGTTTCATAAACCCTGGGACACAGGGACAAGTACAAAGGGATCTTACACGAGTGAGGCATACAACACGGGAAAATCAGAGACACCATTAACATGAGGTTCCTTGCTGATCGGAGCATATATATAAAACAGCTTTGTAGAGACTGAAGTCATTTTCCTGTGGCAGATCAATGTTTACCTCATCAGACAGTCTTCCTGCTAACACTTCAGTGTTTCATGTTCCAGGAAGATTTTTTTTTTTAGCTCTGTGTCAGCTTGTTAAAAATTCATTATTATTTACACATCCTAACAGAGTCTGTGATTTATTGAGTCCACCTCTAGGCAGCTATAGAATTTTGTAGTTGGAGTTCATTCCATGACATTGAACAAAAGACCCTCCTTTCAGGGCGTGTCTCTTTTTTTATTTGAGGATTTTGAAATCCTGGAAATTGCACTTAGATTAATTTGTAAGAGGGCAATTGAAGGTTAGTTGGGTGTTTAATGAAAGAGTTAGGGAGAGGCTGTCAGCTCAAACAAGTAGGCACACCCAACCAGTCAGCTCCCATTCCCGCATGAACTCTGTTGACACATGGCGTTACCCTTTCACTGTCAGATGACTCCTCTCCCAGGCAATCTAAACGTCCACACTGGGGATGTTTCCAGGCTGAAACAGCAAACCTCAGATGCCACTGAAGACTGACAAACAGAATACAACATCTGTTTCTCCCAACATGCACCAGTCCTTCAGAACTGAAGTAACCAAGCCAAAACAGAACAGAAACCATAAAGAAAACTTCAGAACGTGTCGCTTTTTCATAAGATGCATGCAAAGGACAGCATCAAATACACCTTAAAAATAAAAAAAGGCATCTTCAATCTTTTTCTACAGGAACCGAACCCAGGGTAGAATTAGAGAACAGAGCACAAACGCATGTGAATCTCTAGTCCCAGCAGAGACACATTTCTGTTGCTAATCTATCTGCCCCGCTTTAGAAGCAACCAGGATCTTAGTCATGACCATTTTGTCTCCAGGCATGGATTTCTTAGTCAATTATCTTGATCTAGCCCATCCTTTCCCACTCTAATAATTCTGCTTTCTGAACCATTCTCACGCTTCACAAAATCTATCTCAGATGCTCTCTTCTTTTGGAGGTGTGTTCCTTGGTCCATAATCTCTATTCCTCCAGTTCGAACTTTTCTTTCTTCTTCTGTCTTCTCTCACATATAAGGATTCACGCAAAGACATTATCTCCCGTACTAAACTGCAAGAGTTTTATGGACAGGACAGTGCTTCATCTTTTCAAACTCTACAATGCATAGCTTTGCATACTGTGAGTATGAAACATAAGTTGTTTGAATGAATGAATGAATCAATAAATATGTAAATGAGTGAGTGAAAGTGAAAACTTATCAGAACGTTTTTCGTTTACCAGAAAAGTTTCACAAGGGTTTTGAATGTACTTTAAATCAAACTGAGAATAATATTCTGAGGGAAATAAAATCTCTAATGAATTATCTGAAGGAATTCTTCTGTCCTTGCCCAGGGTTTCAGCTTATTTTATTCCGTGTAAAAAGTGCTTCTGTGGTGAGAATACAATAGTTATTGTAGTAGAAATAGTTACAACGTTGTCTGCCAACTCTGTGCCGAGCATGGATCCAAGTATTTGCACTCAATTGCCTTTTGCATCAATCCACTGACGAGAGTAGGTGTATTATCTGTGTTAGAGAAATGAGGAAGTGACTTGCCCAAGTTGATATATCAGTGAACCACAAAACCAGGATTCACAACCGGGTTGTCCAGCTGCTAATGCCCTTATCACAGAGCTAACTTCAGGGTATGCACACAGGTGGGTTCTCATTAAGAGCTCCGTTCCAGTGGTGTGCAATTAGCAGTACAAACAAGCCATCTCCCAAATGAGCCTGCTTTCCTTTTTGTTCCAAAAACAAGGACTAGAAACTTGTCATTATTATCACAATCCTTCAAGGTTTTTTGTGCATCTACTGGAAACTCTAGCTTTTTAGTGAAACAAGAGGCAGTTGTATGGACAAAAGAAGGGAACACTGTACGGTTTTAAGTAAGGGTTGTAGCTTTTCACCATACTTGTTCAATCTGTATGTTGAGCATTTCTGATCTTGAATTTTAACTTCTTTTTATTAACTCTGATAGTTG